TTTAGACCAAAGAAATTCACCAGGTACAGAGAGGACCATTATATAATGATAAAATGGTCACTTCACTAAGAAGATATAGCAAGTCTAAAAATATATGCACCAAACAACAGAGCTGCACACTATAAAGCAAAAGTGACAGAACTGAGAGGAGAAGTGGGCATTTCCTCAGTGTTAGTTGAAGATTTTAACACCTCTTTCTCAATAGCTGATACAAGAATCAGGCAGAAAATCACCATGGATGGAAAAGTCAACATCATTAACCAATAGGGACTATTTGACATTTATAGAACAATCAATATCAGGAGAATCCATATTCTTTTCAAGTGCCTACAAAGCATGTACTAAGATAGACCACATCCTGGACCATAAGACACACCTCAACAAATTTAAAAGAATTGAAATCCTACAGAGTATGTTCTCTGACTACAGGTAGGCTAGACATCAATAACAGAAAGATAATAGAAAAATATCCAAACACTTGGAAAATAACACTTTCTAAATAATCCATGAGTCACAGAGGAGATCTTAGTGGGAAGCCAACAAATGAGCAATGAATTAAATGAAAATGAAAATACAGCATACCAAAATTGGTTACAATTAAAGCAATGTTGAGAGCAAAGGTAGCAATACATGCTTACATTAGGAAAGTAAAACATCTTAAATTAATGTGAGCTCTCACAGGAAGGGCGTAGAAAAGAAGAGCAAAATCAAAGTCAGCAGAAGAGTCTAAATCATAAAGATAAGAGCAGAAATCAATAAAATTTAAAACAAAAACAATAGATAAACAAGGAGTCGGTATTTTGAAAAGATCAATACAATTGACAAGTCTCTAGCAAGATGGTCAAAGATAAAAATGGGAGAAAATACAAATTAGCATTATCAGGAATGAAACATGGAATTGCACTACGTACTCTACAGACATAAAAAGGACAGGGAATGCTGTAAATATCTCCACATACATACAGTTGAGGACTTAGATGAGGTGGACCAATTTCTTAAAACTGCCTACCCCAAAATTTACCCAATATGAAATAGGTAATTTGAATAGCTCTATACTATTAAAGACATTGAATTCATAATTTGAAAATTCCCCAAAAGAAATCTTCACTGGAGATTCACTATACAATTCTGTGAAATGTTTGAAAAATAATTAATATGATATATACACAGTCTCTTTCAGAAAATGGAAGGGTTTGGAAAACTTCCCAATTCATTTTATGAAGTTACCATTATGCTGATACTAAAACCAGACATTGACAGTACACAAAAATTAATAAAGGGAAAGAAAGAAACTATGAGCCAATATCCTCCGTAAATGGACATGCAAAATCCTTCAGAAAATATTAGCTAATAGCATCAGCAATGTATAAAAAAATTACACACCATTACCAACTGGAGCTTTTCCCAGAGATGCAAAGCGGGCTCACCATTCAAAAGTCAGTCCGTGTAATCTGCTGTAACAGGCTAACAAGAAAAAAGCATAATGTGATTCTATCAATTGAGGCCGAAAAATAATTTGAGAAAATTTAATACTCATGATTTTAAAAAACACTTAGCACACTAGGAATGAAAGAGAACATCTATAACTTTACAAAGGCCATCCCCCCAAAAAGCTACAGATAACATACTTAATGCTGAAGGACTGAATCCTTTCCTCCTAAAACTGGGAGCAAGTCTTCTTTCATTACTGTGGCTTAACACAGGGCTGGAACTTTTAGCCAGTTCAAAAAGGCAATAAAGGGAAATAATAGGCAAACAGATGGAGATGGAGAAATAAAACTGTCCCTGTTTGGAGATAACACGATTGACTATGTAGAAAATGCCAAGGAACTTACAAACAAATAGAAATGAAATTCCCATGTATCAGTATAACAAAACATGAAGAAGACTTGTATGCTGAAAACTACAAACTTCTGATGAAAGAAAATGAAGAAGATCAAAATGAATGCGGGAGAGTATCAATTCTCTTCAAATTAAAATACTGACCACCATTTCTTCCCAAATCCCATAAAGGTATTTTATAGATATAGAGAAGATCATTCTAATATATATATTGAAAAGCAAAGGAAATATAATGGGTAAAACGATTCTGAAAAGAAGAATAAAGTTGGAGGAATCATGGTACCCAATTTCAAGACCCATTACATAGTTCCAGTAATCAAGAACATGTGGTATTGGTGGAGGGATAAACATACAGGTCAACGCAACAGATAGAGAACTCTGAAATAGTCCCACACAAATATGCCCAACTGATTTTTTGACAAAGGTGCAAAAGCATTCAGTGGAGGAAACATAGATTTTTCAATAAACGGTGCTGGAGAAATTCAATATCTGTAAACAAAATAAGCAACCAAACCAAATCAAAACAAAACAAAATCCTTGACTTCAGGCTCACACCTTATGTACAGATTAACTCAAAATGGATCACAGACTTACATGTAAATGTAAAATTTTTATAGTTTAAGAAAAATAAAAAGCGTAAGAGAAAATCTTTCTACTGCAGAGTGAGGCCAAGAGCTTATAGACTTAACCCCAGAAGTGCAATATGAAAAAGAAAAAAATTGATAGATTTAATCAAGGTTAGTAACTGTGAGAAGTCTTGTTAAGAGAATGAAAGACAAGCTACAGACTAAGAGTGAATATTTGCACATCATATATCTGATAAAGGATTAGTATCTAAAATAATTAAAGAACTCTCAAAACCCAACAGTGAAAAAATGGATGATCCAGTTAGAAAATGGGCAAAAGACATTTCATTGAATAGGATATACTGACGACAACTAAGCACATAAAAAGCTGCTCAACATCATTAGCCATTAGGGAAATGCAAATTAAAACCACAATGAGGTAGCACTATACATCTATCAGAATGGCTAAAATAAAAAATAGGGACAACACCAGTGAGGATGTGGAGAAACAATCACTAATACACTGAAGTTTCATTTTGTGTGGTTTTCTCTGTTTTTTTTTT